ACAGATGTGACGATCGACAACTTTAGACGTGACGACCAACTAGCCCGTCCATTAAGTTTTTAACGGCATAATACTAAAATGAAACAAAAACTAAATGATAAGTATGATTTTGAAGAAAAAAAATGAAAATTTAGATTTTAAAACAGACTAAAATAGTTTAGGTACTAAACACATAATTTACCCAATATAAAAGGTTTCAATAAATAAATTACATTATTCCGCACATTTGCCTCCACCTCATGCCTCTCCTCAATTTTCACTCCCATTGAAAACACACAGCCAAGCCCTCTTTGTCAATTTACAGAATCATCACAATAAAACCTAACAAACGCTTCTTCTTTTTGTTCGTCGTTTTCTCCCTCGATTTGCAGACCCTTTCTTTTTGCTAATTCTCAGCACATAAAGTGACGATCTTTGAGGTGAGTTTTGGCTTTTTCATCAATGGAAACCATTTAGATAAGTCAGGCACGTTGTTCTTCCAACAACAATAACTACAAAAGCAACTTCATCTTTTTGTTTTTGTTCCTGTTTTTAATCTCTGGGTATTTGTTTATCGGATCATTTAACGAGGCAGGATGATAGAGATGTGATTTTTGTTGTGTACATTACAGGGAATCTGAAACATACCATCGTTTTGTTAAGAGGATTTGCATTCGATCATGCCGGTTCCTGAGAACACTGTGGCTGTGTCGTCGATCGGCTCTCATGCGGTCAATGATTCTGGAAAATCAAAAACCAGCAGCGATTCCGTGGCTGCTGCTAAGCCTGACAAGGAAGCCCGGTTTGAACAAGTCAAACCAGCACAAGCAGCCATCGATGGCGACGGCGATAGCAAAACTGAAATGCTAAATGGGTTTAGCAATGTGGAAAATGGGGGTGATGATGAGATTTTCGAGAAAAACATGAGTGATTTGGTTGAAATTTTGTCTAAGCTTAACCCTATGGCTGAGGAATTTGTTCCTCCTTCCCTTGCCAACCACCACCACCATGATCAAAACCGTCATGATAATCACTTTCTGGAAAATGGGTTTGGTTTTATTACTGACAATTTTGCTCTGAATGCTAATTCTGGCAATGGATACACTAATAGAAGGGTATGTAAGTTTCATTTTGCTGTGGCGTTTTGTTTTTGTTTTATATTGGTAGCTTTTTTTGTTGATTCTATGTTCCTTTTTTCATAGAAGAGGAACAACTTTAGCCAAGTGAAGAGAAGGTTGAATAATCGAACTAACCTTGGGCAGCAAGAGGATGCAATTAGGAAGACTGTTTATGTATCGGATATAGATCTACAGGTAACATGGTTTAACATTTATGGTTTTTGCCTCAGTTTTACTATAGTGATGTTGTGCTGATTGATTGTGTTTATGGAATAGGTTACTGAGGAGCTTCTTGCAGGTCTCTTCCTGAGTTGCGGACCGGTATATCTTGTTTCTTTGTCGTATTTAGTAATTAATTTCCGGGTTATCTGACTCAGTGGTAGTGGATTATTCCCTTAAAAGAACTTTCTGTTATTTATAAAGGTTGTTGATTGTCGTATATGCGGTGACCCTAATTCTGTTCTCCGCTTTGCCTTCATCGAATTTTATAAAGAAGGTATTACGAACGGTTTATACATTTGGTAAGCATTGATATTTGCTTTCCTTTTACAGTGTTGACAATTCAATGTTCCTGCAGAGGATGCGGAAGCTGCTTTGAATTTGTCTGGGACCATCCTCGGTTATTACCCTCTGAAAGTGATGCATTCCAAGACGGCGATCGCACCTGTTAACCCAACCTTTTTACCCAGGGTAAAGCATATATTCTGTGAGAACTTTTTTCACGTTTGTGTGTAAGTTATAGAAACTGTATCAGAGTCATGTTGATATGTGTTTTGTTTTTAATTACATGGCTTCAAATGTTTTACTCTCTTCAGTCTGAGGATGAGCGGGAGATGTGTGCAAGAACCATTTACTGTACAAACATAGACAAGAAGGTAGTTTCTCATGTCCGGTATTTTCTGGAATGCTATTGTGATCAATAACCCGATCAATAATTCCTGGCTTATTTGTTCAACTGATACAGATTACTCAAGCTGATGTCAAGCTCTTCTTTGAATCACTATGTGGGGAGGTCTGTAGTTTCTCATGCGCTTATAAATGCTGCTCACCTTATAAGTATTGCATTTAACGATTTCTTACTGAATTTTTTGTTCTATGGTAAGGTTCAACGCTTGAGGCTATTGGGAGACTATCGTCATTCAACTCGCATTGCTTTTGTCGAGTTCACAATGGTGGTTACTGTCTTGCTATCTTTATTTAACGACTTTTGCAACATATGTTTTTATGGTATCATGTTGAATTGTCCGTATTGTCCTTTCTCGTGACGTAAGTGAAGTTGTTCTTAAACCTATTTGGGAAACTTAACTGTATCAACCAAATCTTTTGGCATCATCCGCCCCCAAATAGTCGTAGTTCGAATAAATTCCACAAATATTGCTTGAGAAATGTAACTGCCAAATAATCATATATTCCTCCGCGGATATATGATTTGGCATCTTGCGATTGCCATTAAATAACAAGATGCAACTCATTTTATGGTGTGTCTTATATTGTCGGCTTTTTTTGTTGATCGGTTAACTTACGATGATCTCGTGTTTTATTTTTCATCTCATGCAGGCTGAAAGTGCGATTGCAGCCCTCAACTGCAGTGGTGTGGTTTTGGGATCACTGCCCATAAGGTCGGTTTACGAAACTTTTCTCTTCGAATTTATACACATATATTGGATTGTGAAGTTCTATTTCCCCAAATTTTATGGGAATATTTGCCTTTTGCATGTGCAGGGTAAGCCCATCAAAGACACCTGTTCGTCCCCGTGCTCCTCGCCTTGCAATGCACTAAATCACCCGTGCTCCTCGCCTTGCAATGCACTAAATCACCCGTTCTCCTCGCCTTGCAATGCACTAAATCACCCGTTCTCCTCGCCTTGCAATGCACTAGATCACCCGTTCTTTCTTTCTTCCAGACTTATCAACTGCCAATATATTTACATATACATGCTTATTTACAGCAGTACATTCGGGGTACTTTTGGTGTTAAATGTTATTTCTCCGTGCATCGTAGTTACTCTTGCGGGGTTTAATCGTGGTTGGTATCTTTTAGCTCGTTAACGAGGTTTTGACAGACATGAATGTTAATTTATGTTTCATGTTACAATGGATAGTAAGTGTTAAATAGACAATCTCTACCGTTGTTCATGATCTTTTTCTGGTGCCATTATCGATTCGCTGTTAAGGTATGAGTGTTCGATAGTGCGTACTCAATACGAGTATGTTTCATCTTCTTATATGTTTTTCTATGTATTTGGAAGGTGTAAGGCGGGTCAATTTTTATACTCCATGTATGCGACATTAGTGCGAGTCGAAACAACAGTGGTTTACTAACTGTAATAGTGATATTAGATCTGTCCAAAAGTCGAGCTACTCGGTTTTAGCCGATGAAACGGGCAACAAGCTGAACTAAACCAATAGGACAAGGGTTCTGCCGTTTAGTCTGCAACCCTTTTCTTTTTTTTGGTTAAAGACTTCTGCGGTCCGACCAACAGGAACTAGGTCGGACTTTGGCAAAAGACTTGCGGTCGGACTTCTACACAGGGAGCAAAGCTGTTGTAACGGGAGTTTAGATGAGAAATGTTTAATTAATTCCGATAATTATTGGGTCTAATGATGTGAAGCTTTCGAGGGGAGGACACATGTACTTGCCTAATGGTGACCCTTCAACAACCTCAATGAAACATCCACATTTCATGTCTATTTAAAGTCATAAAAGAACAATGGAAATGTGGGGACACATTTGAGCATTGGACTATATGACATGAAATTCTTACCCTTTGAAAACGAGACATCGGAGATTTTAATACAGAAAACGAAACAGATAATTGTTTAGTAATTGTTAATGGATGGGATAAGACATCTTTGTTGGCTAATCTGTCTTGAGCCGATTTGGTTTCTTGCTTCTTTGATCTAACCTTTAGAGAAAAATGATAAATAAAAAAATCCGGTTCTGTCGAATATCAGGCCAACCTACAGACAGCTGATCCTAATGTTTTGCTCTGTGATCGGTTTGATTTCTTTGTATCTATTTTCTCAGGAAACTGTAGATTTATCTTATATATATATATATATTTTAAAAATTCTTATAAGGAAAAAAAATTCATGGCTTCACATTGTTTCAAAACATTTGATGATTGTAATAAAGAAATGGACTGATATCTATACATGAATGCTGGGACAAATATAACTACCCCGCACCCTTTCGGCCACTTGGACTCTTTGCGATCCAGACAGGTGTGGCATAAAAATCCATAATTATCTGTTTGTATTCCTAATTTATTTATGTATTTTAGTGTGTCGTATAATTATATTTGTATAAATTTGGAAATGATAATTATTCGTAATTTATTATATATTTCACAGCAGAACAAGTCAAAAGTAAGAGCTCACCTTAATCGACTATTCTTTGTGCCGTTAATCCATGTATAAATTCTATACAAAATGTAGCTGGACTTTTGTTCTAAAATAATAAAACATGTCCCACGATGATAATAAATTATATTTTATCTTTTAAAATAATGAATAAATCGTGATTGGCATGTATAATTACCATCTTTCGATATACATAACATTGTGATTATAAGAATTAAAATCGTATCATGGTTTACAAATGAATCAAGAATGAAAGACATAGATGTCCACAAGGCACGGGAAAGAAGATGTGTGATACGATATAATAATTATTGGTTCATAGAATCCATTAATCGAATGTCTCAATCACTCGAAACCTGCCAAACGTAGCAGTTCCGATCAGGGGTGCAAACGCCCCACCAAAATGTAAAATTGCAGCTAAATCCCCATCCAAATCATACACCAACACAATTGTAAAATGTTATTTTGACCCTCTCAAAACTTCATAATTCATTTTTAGTCCTTGAAATTATATAGAAAAACAGGATTTCAAGCTCCATCCTCGTTCCCATCATGTCCAACTGTATATTTAAGTTCCCCACCCCCACTATAATTCTCTAATACCAAACATTATTCATCCCGCGCAACTTCGATAATGGAGCTTAGAGAAGATCATCCAGCACCACCCGATAAAGCAACTTCAGAACAGTGCCAAGAACATCAAACTCCAAGGAAGAGAAAGAACCACAACAGCAGCAGCAGCAACAAGATGATGAAGAAGAACAAGAAGAGGTTTACCGATGAACAAATAAGGTTGTTCGAGTCGATTTTCGAGTCGGAGACGAGACTAGAACCGAGGAAAAAGTTGCAGGTGGCGAGGGAGTTGGGTCTACAGCCACGACAGGTGGCCATATGGTTTCAAAACAGGCGAGCGAGGTTGAAGTCTAAACAGATTGAGAAAGATTACATCAAGTTAAGGGATAAATACGATAATCTGGCGTCCAGGTTCGAGTCCTTGAAGGACGAAAAACAGTCCTTAGTTTCCCAGGTACCTATAATATACCACTAATGTTCTTCCTCACCGAGAATAATCACTCATCATAAAAAGATGATGTCTCTCACAGTTGGAGAAGCTAAGTGAAATGGTGGCCGAAGCCCATGATGGAAACAGGGTGGGTCTTGAAGCTGAAGCTGAGCCGATCCTCCAACAGGCAGCAATGGAAGAAAACGATGGGTTCTTTGCCTTGGAACAATTTATGGACATGGATGAACACAGATCGTTCCCGGTTTCGCCTGAGAAACTCCACGGATTCGATTCGGCTGCCGATAGTCGTTTGCAGTGGTTGAACTCCTGGACTTGAGAATGCTTTTTGAGCCATTACAGTCGATAAACAATCAGAGCCACCAAAATACCCGAGGGAACTGGCCATTGCATGCCATGATCTTCATATTCCAATAGAATCTGATTTCCATGATGTTAAAAAAGACTGCAATGGGCTGTTTCTAGTTGTACACCGTCGATTCCTCCTTTCCTTTTTGGTTATGGTTACTTTAAAATAAGCTATGGGTTTTCTCCAGAATCCAGTAGTACAGCTGACGACACTTTCGAAAAACAGTGAATTAATCCCCATACTTCAATCCGATTAATTTTAATATATATATTTTAAAATGATTAAATTGAGAACAAAATCTGAATTTATAATCCATGTATAATTAATAATTTTAACAATGATCATTTAAATGCTAATCAAACTGTAATACAAAGAATAAACTGATAACTTGTACGTCTTATAAGGATAAGCAGACGGAAGAATTCGACATTAGGGAAGCAAAAACATTTAGCTTTTAGATGAAAATCATCTAATAATTATATAATAATTCTTGTATATCAATCATCTCTGTTTTGTTGAGTTAAAAAAATATGTATCAGATTAGATAGAATCAAAGTGAAATTTTTGCATAAAATTGAGTAGGTGAAAATCATTAAACGTCGAGATAAATTGAGATTAAACAAAAACATTTAACTTCTAGATGAAAATTGAAATAACTAGAAAAATTAACCGGACTCGTCTTATGTTAATCCCTATTTATCACACGAATCCAACAAGTGTCGACCGATATGTCATGTCATTAGCGGTAGTATTAAGAGAAGAAGAAAAGACAAAAGAGGGGAGCGTTTTCGTTCTTCCTAGGTGGGAAAGAGGAAGGAACGTTTGTTGAAAATATGAGGTCATAAAGTCATTGCCTCCATAAAGAGCAAAAGGTTGAACACAACACGTTCTTCTCACCTAACCATCAAACACTTGTTAATAGATATAAGGCAGACATCGATACCCTAATAGAAAGTGTACACTTGTTTTTTCACCCTCAAAAGGGACTTCCAACTTACTTGTTGGCTACGAGTTCAAGTCTCCGTGGGAAGGAAAATGAATGGTCTGCAGTCATCGAGAATAATTGTACTTACGCCTAAGAATCTTAAAATATTTTGGTTGGCATATGATATGGAGACAGTTTGGCCGAGTGGTCTAAAGACCTAGATTTAGGCTCTAGTCCCAAAGGCCGTGGGTTCAAATCCCACAGCTGTCAATTTCTCTCTTCATATTCCATTGCATCAGTGTGAGCATGAGCATGCATCATTAATGTAGATAGATTATTAGTCAATCCAATGATGTCATATCGTATTTAAAAATAATTAAAACTAAAACAAGCATAAAATTCATATTGTATTTAAAACATTTGTACAATTTGATCATATTTTACATGATAATTTATATTTTCATTAGCCTTTTCATGTCATGTTTATTTAATAAATGGAGCCATTGTCGGTTTACATTTTTATTCAAAGTTTAGTTTCGTGGTTATTATTAAACGGAGCCTTTGCCGGTTTTATCGGTGCTTTTTGAATATACCATTCGGACACTATAGTAAATATGTTTTATAGAGATTTTTTTAGTCTTATAGCGGTGTTTTTAAACGCAACAAAAAGCTTTCCGACGTAAAGTTAAGCGCCGCAAAAAAAGTCGTTATAACAGGCTCCGCAAACTGTAGTGGCATCTGTAAATAAAAACGCAGCAACCGATAATAACATTTAGTGGCATTTATTTTACAATCACCGTTATAGATTGGTCATTTAATAGCATTAGTAAGTAAAACTCCACTATATACTATAATATTTAGCGACGTTTTTTGAACAAACACCGCAAAAAGTAAAACACCACGGTTGTGTAGTCCTTAGTGCCATTTTTTTACCTTAAGACGCCGCTAAACCAGCCTGATTTGCAAATATTATTTTCTGCTATTTATTACCCAAATTTAATATCATGTAACAATATCCAATAGCAACCTTAAAATTTAATTACGACACGGATTAAATAAAAATAATTGACATAAATAAATTAAAGTTTATAAACATTCAAATGAAATGTAATGTACTTCAACATTATTAACTAGAAAGTAGTCTGAGAAAATTAAAGAAAAAACATTTACAAGATTAATTGCAGTGCTTTATCTTTTCAGCTCCTCCTCGATAGAGCTATATCATAGATAATCGTACCCACAAGATCAAAAATTCTAGGCTGCATCAAAATTTTAGATGTATAAGTTTCACTGCAAGACTGCTTCTTATTGAAAGAATTTATATACAATTTAAGTGCATAAAACCCCAAGAGTATTCATTTACCAGTAAGTACTTGCTAATAGCAAATATGTAAGGCAAAGTGCTTGCACTGAATAGGGTACAGTTGCATTGTTGAAGGCCTACATTAAAACACATACATATTTAGTTACAGAAACAAAAAACATCACAAGGCAGCTTTTGTGCAACAACATATGCTGGAACACTCCAAAATAATAGGGTGCATGATCAACTTTGTACCAGCATATCACCTTAAAATCTTTTCCAAATTATGCAAAGTTTTTCAGTAAGGAAATAATTCAATGTCAAAATCCCAGATACAACATCAAAAGGTATTAATGCAACAGGCCAATGCTACAATACCATGATTTGAACTGCCATAACTTTTTCCAAGATGCACATAGGTGAAAAATTAAGTAAACAAAATATCATTAAGAGCCATAATACCTTATACAACCTATGATACTGTTCTGCCTGCTTCCTACTTTTCCGAACCAAAACTCAAAAATCAGGGGCCATACCACTGCAAAAGGCATGAAGATTCATATATATATCAAGAAATAGACAAGTTATATTAGCAACAAAAACTGGATTAAAACACAAATTGATCACAAATTATGTACTTAGAAGTTTATTAATATAGCATGCTTATTTTGAAAGAAATGCATGTTAACTTTCCACATAGCTAACCATCATTCCAAAAAAAGAAAACCATAAAAAAAATTATGCTACATGGCTAACGATTTACAGAGCTTTCTTACAAAACATAATAAGACAGCACAATCATACATTAAAAAATCATTGATAAATCGGATACGAGTAACCCTATTCTTTATATATCAACCAAAGCACAGAACAAGGCAATGAAACTTATTTAGGTGTATTTAGAACTAGTACTTGCTCAAGTCATTGGAAAAACAGAGAAAATTACAGATGTAAGCTCTTGGTGTATTTTGAAGCAATTTAATGCAATATACGACTACATGCTAACCAGATTCAATATGTTCCCAACTAAAATAACTAAATAACTGAGCAATTTAATGTAAGTCCGTTCCCCATTGCAGAGTATCTACAGACTATATTAATTCACTGAAACTCAATCCTTTCCTCCAAAAGCAAGTTCGAATTTTATGAACTCAAGCTTTGGCAATCAGACAAACTGACTGCCCAACTCGGATACAGAACTCCTATAGCAAAACTATAGATGAAAGAACAAGCAACTGAGAGCAAAAAGGCAGTAATGTAATACACGGTAACTCATTAAATTTAATTACAAACAGGACAAACGCCAAGCCCCACAACGCCTCCCCTTCCTCCTATGATAAGGGAAAAAGGCTTAAGGCTCTTGACAACCTTCCTTGTACTAATATTTTAACATTTTTCCAGTCAGGGATCCACAACTAGAGGTAAGTTTCTAATATACTAAGTGACCAGCAAATAAAGGGAATAAAATTATATTATATAAGAAACAAATTCTTTGGACTAAAATGCTTGTAGATTGTATCATGTATAAGAAAGAAATATAAATCCAAAAATCCCATAAAAGCCTTCCCTTTCTTTATCATTCTTTATAAAGAGAAACAAAAAAAAGGATGAAACATGTTACCTCGTATAACAGATTCTTTTCTTCAAGCAGTGTACCACCTCATTTACCAGAATAAAGAACACTCAATTTACATTTTAAAACAAAGTAGATTATTTGAGAATGGTTTCTAAAGGATTGCTCTGACGAACCTATGAATTCGAGATATTAAGTAATTAATTTGAGAAAAAATCTACACATACATCTTAATCCACGCTCACGATTAAAGATTGAACATTCGATTTCTATTTTTCAGAGAACAAACCCTATTTCTTCCCCTTTTCATTCCATTCCTAAATTTCTCTCACCGTCCAAATATAACCAAACTCAACAAAGGAAACAAAAGGAAATTACCACAATACCAGTGGCCACAATTGGAACGACAAGGAACAATGAAAGAACCAAAGCAGATTGGGCAGCAATCATCATCGGAGGGGTTTCATTCAACCACTTATTCCCTCTAGAATCATACGCATTTCTTTCGCTCACCTCCGTTTCCATTTCTTTCCCTCTAGATACAATCCAGTCAAAAAGCGTTAGAAACTCTAATAATGGCAGCCTGTTTCAACAAAATTGAAGAAAATGGCAGCGATTTTCAAGCTGAAAAAACGCAAATCATCAGGCAAATCATTCCATTGAAACTCTAATAATTAACTCGACGGCGATAGGAACCCAACGACGGCGTTAAACGGCGTTGATGGTGTGACGTTGGAGGCCACGACGGCTTCGACCGGTGACGGGCAACAGCAGTTTCGTGGGTATTTGGGTATGTCCGGCGGAGATGGGAAATAGAAAATAGGGGAACATGGGAACAGATGGAAAGGGAGGATCTAAATCTAACTAGATGCATGCACAGTATATATTTTAGCTAAAATACAGGACTCAAGGAGGAGTAAGTGCCGGATACAAGTATGTTTCTAACATAGGTATGTCAGACACAGTAATCTAGCAAGAATTGAACTCCAGATAGTGCTTCCAAGAACAGCTCATTTCAAATGAAGTTTGTGAAATAAGATTTATTCAACAAGCAATCATATAGACAATAAGAATGCGCCGACATACTTGCGGCAGATCAATCATCTTGTCCTGGTTGTACTTCCGAGCCAATGCCATTAAAGAAGGCTCGATGATGCCACTGCGGAGTCTCAGAACCAGATGCAGGGTTGATTCTGCACAATTCAAAACAAACAATTAAATCAAATTACTATAGACGTCCTATAGAAAACCAAATCGGTCCAGGCCTTTAAATTCAATTATGTTGATGAAGACAATACTTGAATGATTTGATTACTATAAATTTCTACTCCGCTACTTGTATCATTTTCCCAATAAGAAAAATATCACTTAGACATGCCCATGGCTTTGATACACAATTCAATACGGAACAAAGTAAAATGAGTGCAGTGCTTGTTATGGCAAAGTTTCTCGAGAACCATACAGGGACTAGAATCAACGATGATTACCTTTCTGAATGTTGTAGTCAGCAAGAGTACGGCCATCTTCAAGCTTCTTTCCGGCGAAGATCAATCTCTGCTGGTTCGGCGGAATACCTGAAAACATTTACACCGGAAAATCTAAGCCATCAAAATCCACATGATAAGCAATTATAAGCATACTGATTTCGATGGTGTCGCTGGATTCAACCTCTAGGGTTATGGTCTTCCCTGTAAGTGTTTTCACGAAAATCTGCATTTTCCAAAACCCCGATTTCAGATTCGGTATCTGTCCGATAAACCTTCCAATTCTAACTGAATAAGGCCGGTAAAATTGGCTCAATACAAAGGGATGGGCATGCGACCGGAACCCGGTATTGTCCGATTTTTTTAAAAAAAATTAGATTTGGATTAATTCGAATTTAGGGTGAAAAATATTCGATCGATTCAAAAAAAAATTATCATATATATTTAAGAATAATTACAATAATATTTCTCTCCATATTATTTTTTTAAAGTTAGTTATTGTTTTTTATTGAATAAAAATAACATTTATTATTATTTCGGTCAGGTCGGATTTTTAAGATATATATCAGATTAGATTCGGGTTGGGTGAAATCTTGTTTTGGACTTGTCGGGTCGGGTCTCGGGTGGAGCATTCTTTGTTCTCGAATCCGGTTGGGTGGACCAAAAATCCGACTCAACCCGACCTATGCCCATCCCTATCAATACAACAAGCAGAGTAATTATTTAGTTTAATAGGACACAAAGCAAATTATTTATGAATTTATAATATATATTCGAGTGATTTGAAACTTCTTAAGATGAATTTTAAAAAGATATATTTTTTTATTTAATTTTTTTTATTTTGATGTGATAAAATTTAATGAAAAAATATATTTTATTAAAATTTATTATGCTGACGTGAAGAATTTGATTAAGAAATATTGTTTAAATAAACTCATCGCATCAACCTAATAAATTTGTCATACATTATAACATTTTACAAAATAAATTTCGAACTTGCCTATTGAGCCAATTAACTTTTCTGCCTGACCTAATGGACAAAAGACCTGATTAGGGTTTTTAGTGGATTCATTTTCAGAACTGGGTTTGGGCCCTTTTGGCCCTAAAGAATAAGAGAAAAATATTAGACTCAAAACGGTACATAACATTTCGATTGATGCGATTGAACGTTGACAGTTTATTTCTTTAATTTAAACTGAAAATTATAATCAATAAAAGAAGAGATTTTCAAAATTATTAAAAGTTTGATTCTTTTGTAATCTTAATTGGTGACATATATAACGATCTCTAACAGATGAGATTAAGTATAAAATTATGATGATTATTCTTAGATTGATGAGTTAAATAAATTTAATAATTAAATATTAAATTTCGTTATTTGCATAAATTTTTTGTGTGGATAATTTTAATTTTATTATTCAAGATGCATAGTTATGCTACAAAAAATATCCTATGAATGGGATAAATTACTGCCTACTTACAACAAAATTGATGCTTAAACTCCTCAACGATTACAAAGGTAAATATTTATACTATCTAATCTATTTATATTCATTTCTCTTAATTGAATACCTACAGTCTCCTTAATGGAATTCACAATTTCTTCCACACTTCTTGTGCTTTCTCGGTAAAATCTTTTATTTCTTTCTGTTGGGATCGTCGGCGCACCCCACGGCGTAGCGAAAACAAAACTCGATGGTCTCACCAGCGATCCAAGTACATAAAACCAAAATCGAAAGGAATGGATGTGAATACTTACAGCGAGTTCCTTGAAAAAGAGTAAGGACGGCAGCGGCTAATGGTGGTGTCGATCGGTTCGAATCGTAAGCCTCTACGAAATCACGTCTCGGCTTCTACTCAGTTCACCCTATTGAGAGCAATGTTTGTTTTCCCCAAAACTGTTTTGAGAAAGAAACGACTGAAGATTATTTGTGTTGTCACGACTGCTATACCTAACGCATCCTTTTATATCTATTATTTCTAACATCTTAGGGTTTTAAGTTATTTCGAATTAATAAATAAAATATTATTTAATTAATTCAACTTAAATATACATTAAAGACTTATAATCAGAATTACAATCTTTAATGTTTATTTTAAAAACAAACTTATTTAAATATTCTGAATTATATATATCAATTAAAAGAGTTGTAATCTAAATTACATTCTTTTAATGTTTACTTAATTTATTCGGGATAATTAAATCCATATGTAGGAATGACAAATCATATCTTAATCATACACATCACTACATATATTGAGATATATTCAATAATAGACTTTATAGAGCAACCAGTTACGGAGCTTGTTTAACCGCATCAAAACATGCAACAATATATGTTGGGATAGTATTGATCTCAAGTATGAGGATCATACATATAGTTATCACCATGAGTAATGTTATGACTATCACATAATAATCCAATAAATATGCTTATGGTCGGTCAATCCAATACATTGTTCTCTAACAATGTAATCATGTATCAATTATGCATCTTTATGTCAATGACAACTTGTTGTCATAAATCAATAACATGTTAATCTTAAGCGTATTATTATTGTCAATGTCCATAATAATATTTGACTAGGGATCTTTTAATAATAACAGTTATGTCATTATATGAACTTTATTATCTTACAGTTTATGTTAAACACAAACATATAACTGAAAATAATATTGGCAATGCATTTATTTAATAAAACCGATAAATAAATGTATTATTACAATCATCATATGATTAGTCTTTGGGCATACTCTAACACTTTACTCTCACATAGAATAAATAAAAGCGAACAAACAAGTTTCAAAATGGTAGTGAGAAGAGACTTACCTTTTCAAGCACTACAGAGCCAATCTAACATGGTCACCTTATGGTAAAGGAGGAGTGTCTAAACCATAGAGATTAAAAATATTATTACATATGAAAATTTCCAGAGTACAGTCATTGAACATGTAATCCATAGTCTTCATAGTCTCTTTGTAGATTATACATGAGCTATCAGTAATAATTCTCATTCTAAGGAGTCTCTCTTTAGTTAAGAGTCTATCTGAAAGCGTCATCCACGTAATCAGGCTATGTTTAGGAATGTGTAGAGAAAATCATATCAATCTGTATCATGAGATTTTTTTTCTTTTTACTCGTAGTTTTTTCTAAAAATCTTTTGTTTCAGAAGATGGTGTGGATAAAACAGGAATAGCAACTACCCTAAGTTTTAATAAGTGCATGAAACACCATCTAAAATTTGCTTTGACCTCCATGAACAGAAAGTCTTGATATAATTTGATTATTAAACGTATAGTTTCAAAAGATATAATTTGAAACTAAAATAAAATATTAGGAGAACCGATTTTAATAATTTAACTGATGAATCGAAAGCACTGATTTCCTCTCTTGCTTTTCAATTCTTTATCAAGTGATTGACGCCGACAATTTTGGGAGAAAACCATGATGAATGTCTAAAATCAATCTGATTTAGACATATATTTGACCGACTTCATCAATGCTTGTCCACAGTATCTGCTAACTTGAAATCTACGCCAAGTTTTTTTCGATCCGAGCTATAGATTATTTTTTTATGATTTGCATTTGCTTATTTCTTCATTTGCTTATCAACGAGTTTAATGGAGATTGTGTACAATTTCGACGAAATCATTAACTTTCATTACATTTTTTAAAATTCCTAATAAATAACGATTTTAAATAACGATTTAAAAAAAATCATATTCTTCTACTACGATTCAATTATTTATAATTATAAAATAATATTTTGATTATAGAGTATTATTTTTATTAAATCACTTAATTATTAAAAGTTACAAAATAGTCACTCAATTATTTATTAAGTTTAAAACTCATTCTTTTCTGTTAAGAAATTGGCGGTCTTCTGAACTGTATGTTAACATAACGACTGAGATATAATAGTTGTTTGAGATTCTGACATCAGATTTTATCATATTACATTCAGAAAATTAATGTTCAACTAAGAATACTGTCAAATTTTTAATAAAAAAATGATGATTTTAAAATATAATGAATAGTTGAGTGATATTTTTATAACTTTTAATAATCGAGTGACTCAACAAATCAATACTATTTAGTTAGAGAATATTTTATAATTTTTAATAATAAAAAATTTAATAAAACAATATTTTTTAAGTAGTCTTTGTATATTTTACTTCCATATATATATATATATATATATATATGATGCTTACAAAATTAACCTCACATTTATGTTAGTACTTGAATTTCAAAATTCGCGTGGGTTTCAATATGCAATATTTGCATCATTCACTTTGAAACTCCCTCTCTGTCTAAAAAGCCAGAGAGAGAGAGACTAAAGCAAAAGACTTCCTAAAGCAGTTGGCTTTTTGAAGGGGGAATTGATTGGTAAGCGAAAGATAAGGAGGGCAGCTTGGTCATCTATCTGTTTGGGCTTCATCGGCCTCATGGTACCTTCAGGCAACGCCAGTCAATTCAGAATCCACCACTTCGGCGGCATTAGAGACGGTGGATTCTGGTCTTCTACGGCGTCGCCGACCTCCGAAGCTGCAGTTGTCTTCACCGTCCTTGCTGGTAACCTTCTCTTTTGTCCCGATTTCTACACCAGCAGCACTAGGTGAAAAATTGATTTTGAAAAATTGATCGATCGTTTCAATGCTAACGGTAAAAAAGAATCTCAGAAAACCCTAGTAACGACACGTAGAGAGTATAGTTAACTTAAAAGGAAAAAAACCCCACAGATTGTAATAAATGAAAGCTCTTAGACGAAGTCAGACTGCTTCGTCTTCGTCTTCAAGCTCGCCTTCGTCGTCATCGTCATCGCCGTGGATTCATTTGCGTTCGGTTCTTTTCGTTGTTACTTCTTCTTCACCAGCTTCTTGTTCTTCCGCCGATAGGTAACTCCTCTTCCTCAAATACTTGATCTTTTGTTAGATTCTCGTTTCAGATCTCGATCTCAGCTTGTTTGCTTTGCTTGTATTTGGATTCTTTCTAGTTCCTTTTTTGAAATTTATTTTGAAATAATGGGGTTTGCACCTCTTATTTCTTAGAGTTTCCAGTCATTTATTGCTCCATTGTTTGCCTGTTTACTTCAAAATTCTGACATATACTTTGCTTTTCTTATTTGCTGGATCTGTGATTCTGTTTTACGTGCCTTGGCAAATTAATTTGCTTTTTTCTTTTTAGTCCGACTTTTTCTGCTTTTAGATTGATTCAATCTGCTAGGATATTGTTCATTAATTGACATTTTTCAAGTTGCAATTTGTGAATATGAAGACTCCAAAAATTTGTTGGAACAGAGATTCTTGAGGAAAATCTTATCTTATGATGTGAAATCAGATTTACTACTGGAATTCCTATGTTTATAATAACATGTTCTTTTATCACTGTCATTAGCTTCTCATTTCCCATATGCAAATTCACCTCTCTTTTCAGTGATCGACTCAAATCACCTTGGTCTCGCCGGAGAAAGAAACAGGCCCTTTCACCTCAGCAGTGGAGAAGTTTGTTTAGCCCAGATGGTAGACTCCGGGATGGTGGGGTCAATTTCTTGAAAAAAGTTCGCAGTAGAGTGGGTCACGGTGCCAGTAACCTATTAATCTTCTCTTCTATTTGTTTACTCATCATTTGAATGCTTAATCTTGTAAACTGCTTATGTAGGGTGTTGATCCAAGTATCAGGGCTGAGGTCTGGCCGTTCTTCTTGGAGTGTAAGTACACTGAACTTGTGTTGCCATTGTTCTTGCGGTTATTGATGCTGAATCATGAAAAGTTTCTACTTTTCCATGGATAGCAGTTGGCTGGGGCATACGTTCAGTGGATCATTTTGCCACTTTAATCATGACATTTTTTTTCTTTTCCTCTGGAGCAGCTATGACTTAAACAGTTCCAAAGAAGAAAGAGACGTTGTTAGAACTCAGAAAAGGTAAAATTTGTTTACTCATAAAACCCTTTTAGCTTTAAAATTTGATAGTTACATAGAGTTACTTGTTTGATTCATTTCTTCATTTCTGTCAATCTGTTAATGCAGGAAGGAATATGGAAAACATCGCAGAGACTGCTGCCGGCTTGCAAAACAGAGCACTGGGAGTTTTAAGTTCACTGAAATTGGTGGAACTTGTCAAAACGGAGATGGTAATAGTCTTATTCAGGAGATTGACTCATCTAGCTCCGAAGATGTGGTTAGTGCCAGAGAGTCTCTCTCTAGTGAGGGAAGGAGTCCTAATACTGAATATTCTGATGAACCACCCAATACCTTTTTGGAAGGAGATGATGGATCGAGAAGAACAAGTGCTGATGTATCGGCTCGGAACAGTGAGTCATCGGACTCTGACTCCTCTGAAGACCCTGAAGCGATTCCAGGTTCCCCTTTTTTAGATGGCAGGGAGGAGAATGATCCCGATGTGTCTTCGAAAAGGAATTTTTCTCGCTCAAGCAGTGAATGGCTATCAAAACGACATGCAATCGAAGATTTTTCCACCTGGCAGCGAATCATTCGTCTGGATGCCATTCGTGCCAATGCTGAATGGACGTCACACTCTCCTTCTCAGGCTGCAGTGTCAGATGGGATGGCACGCCGTTTGGCAAAGGCAGTTGGGTTAAAGGATTATGATCACCTGGAGCCCTACGGAATTTTCCATGCTGCACGTTTGGTTGCTATCCTTGAAGCTTATGCACTCTACGACCCTGAAATCGGCTATTGCCAGGGCATGAGTGATCTCCTTTCTCCAATAATTTCAGTCATCCCAGAGGACTATGAAGCTTTCTGTTGCTTTGTAGGTTTCATGAAGAAAGCTCGATATAATTTTAGGCTCGATGAAGTTGGAATCAGAAGGCAACTTAATATCGTTTCCAAGATAATCAAATGTAAGGATTCCCATCTCTACAGGCATTTGGAGAAGCTCAAGGCTGAGGATTGCTTTTTTGTTTATAGAATGGTGGTGGTACTGTTTAGGAGGGAATTGACATTCGAACAGACAATTTGCCTCTGGGAGGTAATGTGGGCAGATCAGGCGGCCATTAGGGCTGGGATCGGGAAGTCTGCCTGGAGCAGGATAAGGCAGAGGGCACCCCCTACGGATGATCTATTGCTCTACGCAATTGCAGCTTCGGTGTTGCAGAAGAGGAAGTTGATCATCAAAAACTACGGTAGCACGGATGAGATTATAAGTGACTGCAATAGCATGTCGGGGCAACTTGATGTATGGAAACTCTTAAATGATGCACATAACTTGGTGGTAACTCTTCATGACAAGATAGAATCAACCTTCCGATGATTGCCACATTTAGTCAACTAAATTTTATGTGCTTCAAGTTCTTTCTTGGACCTTGATGCTGCGAGTATTTTCAAGTCCCCTCTTGGAAACTATGCTTGAAATGCTGCCCATTGCATTGCTAAGGTATTTTTTTTGCATCAAAGCTAGTTGAAAAACAACTTATTTGGTAGACACTATGAGATCATATCACCTACCCTAAAATTTATGTGAATCCATACTTTTAAGTGGTAGATTTTGATATAATTATGTCATTTTGCGTTGTTTTTAATAAAATTTTGAACTTCATATAAACAATCAAGGTGTGTTGGGTAGAATAGTAAGGTGTTCGATGCCTTGTCCTGAGTTCGAGTCTTATAGACAAAAAAAAGATAATGTTGCGCTATAACCCCGGTTAACAGAGTTGTTGTATCGAGCGAAGGTCATGGTCAAAGTTTGGATTGATTAATTGGGTCGCATATGTGAATGTAGCATCGCATTACATGATTATGGATAGGAGTGGTTTCAACCCTATACCATGTTTAAATGCTTTTCAAATCTCCCATTACTGCTGCGGATAACCCCACGATAAAAAAATATTAAATTTTAATTTTATGGCTGAAGTATATAAATAATCTCTATAAGATATTATTTTATTGAGCCCCTTAATTATTAAAAGTTATAAAATTGTCTCTTAATTATAGAAAGTTGTTATGTTGAGTCCTTCAACTATCGAAAATTACAAAAATGATCATTTGATTATTTATTATATTTCAAATTTATTATTTTCTGTTAAAAAATTAAAAATCATATGAGTTTGATGTTAACATGTTTAGTTATGATAATCTTTTGAGATTATGAGCTCAACTTTTATCATATATCAGTTAGCAGATTAACGTATTACTCATATTGTCGTCAAATTTTTAATAAAAATTTATGTGTTTGGAACATAATATATAATTAGACGTTCATTTTATAACTTTTAATAGTCAAATAACTCGATGAAATAACTAATTATATTTAAAAGATCACTTTATAACTTTTAATAGTCGGAATATTTAATAAATTAATATTATATATGCAAGAAATCATTTAAGTAATGTACCCTAACTTTATCCTAAATTAATTTATTAAATTATATTTTTGTATTTTTGAGTGTTAAATGGTGTATACCTTGGCGGGCCAACCAAGAAATTCTTGATAAGTAAATTATTTTCCAAAACCTGCGAAGTGTCGGTACAAGATCTGGTGGTGGCAGCTCCCAACCACCATCATTTTCCACTTAAATTTTTCTTCACCGGTGGACCCCGCACGAAAATAGATACTTTGCTGAGGATCCAACCAAGACGTGTTTGCCCACGGCCGAATGCCTTTGGCAATCTGAAACCACCGACACCTCCGCCCCATAGAAATTGTTAATACCGGACTACGTAGGTCCCACCACATGCCCAACACATGAACAAAAATTTACCAAATTGGGTAAAACTGACTGAAATCGATTTGAGTCAAAATTATTTGTGACCCGAAGTGATGGTGATCTGAAATAGATTCGAGTCAAAACTGATGTTGACTTGAACCAGAGTTGGACTTGAAAATTTACGACCTGCACCCAACCTGAGGACGACCTGAATCTGAATTGAACCCGATAATGTGATAACAGAACCCAACCTGCATCTGATCTGATATGAACTCAAACCCGATTTAACCTGGTAAATAATTATTATTACCGGACCTATTTTCAATCTGATATATAATTGAAACATGGAAAGGATCTTACATGTTATTAAATTGAATCATGAAACATGGTTTGTATATTTACATCCACCGAATATATTCGGCAGCTTTTCTCAACGAGTCAGTAAACAGAAAACCCAAATTTATTTTTTCACACATAGTACTAAAGATGCAATACCGCAATTTTTTTTTGCTAGTGATTAAAATGAAAGTTTTGAAGGTTTATGAGAAAATATGAATTTGTAAAATTTTATGGACTAAAAATATAGTTTTGGAAAAGTTATATATTACAGTCTGTAAATGAATAGTTTGGCTAAAATAAGAATTTTCTTATTAATCATATTTTTAGTATGAGATTTGTGTTAAAAGTTATAAAATGTTGAAGTTCGATATAGAAATCAAATAATCTGATCAAATTAGAATTTTACAAAAATTTGAAGGATATTATACCATGGTTGAAAATTTTGAAGGATATTATAGTACCTATATAGTATATACTTATAAGTATAATATATACTTATATTATAAACTTATAAGTATAATATATACTTATAATTATATATATATATATATATATATATATTAAAATTGGTTTTAATTTTTCCCCAACATTTAAAATAAATGCAATTCATTCTATTTTTATATTAATTTCAGTTTCATATTTTACAATTATATGTATTCGGTCTTGCGTTGTGTAATTTATTTAATTTGAAATTTCACATTTATTCAATTAGTTCTTAAAATTATATTTGTATATGAAATAGGCCCATACTTATTTATATTTTAATTTGATCCCTCATACATGTGTGTTGTTTAATTTATTTAGATTTTTGTTTGTAATTTATTGTTTGTTTAATTTAGTTCTTAAAATTATGTTTTTATTAAAATTGACTCACAATTATTTATATTTTTTGTAATTTACTCCAAATCATATACAATTAAAAATTACAATTCGTTGCTCATGAAAAATGAAAAACAATTAACTCGAAAATAACCTGACTTGAAGTCAAGTCGTACCAAGTAAGATTCGACCTGAATTTTGTATGTCAATGATGTGATTCGATCTGAACAAGATCCGACCTGAAGTCCATCTGAACTTGAATTAACCTGGAATTTAACTGATTCAGACCTGAATCGTTTTTGAACTAACATCAATCCGAACTGAAATTAACCTGATTCAAAACTGAACTGAATCTGATGATAAAATCAATTTAAAAATTACCAGAACTGATTTGACCCGAATCTAACTTGATCCGAATCAAACCATCAAATTAACCTATTTAATTTTTACAGGTTGATTTTACATCCCTAAATGGACTCAATTGTAAAATAAATAAATAACGCGTCTTTCCTGGTTTCATTCCTCTATACTCGTCCCTACTATTTTATCCAACACCCTCCTCTTATTGTCCTATCGTACCTCAATCAATTAAGTCAAAGTTACGACTACTCAAAGGTCCAATTTCATCCATCAATCCTTATATTTTATAAATTGTTAATTTAGTTCATAAACTGTAATATGTTAGATGAATTAATTATAAGATTTAAAAATGATTTAACAACTATACTATTTAGATTAGGATTAAGATTTCAAAACTTTGAAAGCATAATAACTGAGGTTATCAATGGTAAAGTATGCTAGAGGAGTAGAGGTCAATAAACGACATTAAGATGATCTTTTTTGTCATAACTTTTAAAAGTTACAAAATAATTATTAAAATGTTCAAAAGATTACAAAAGCTCATTAAATCATATCAAATTGTTACAAATAATCATTAAATATTTCAACTTTTATAATTTATTATGATATTGTAGTGATTATTTTGTAATAATTTGATAAATTTAATAATCATTTTGTATTTTTTTTAAACTTTATAGCTGAAATGATTACTTTCATATAGTGTAGGGACTAATAAAATGATTTAACCACTACTAAATCTAAAGGCTATTATTGCAGTGGATAAAAACCCGATCTAAAGCACTGAGAGATGAACACCCGTGTGCAGAAGGAACACTCGTCAGCTTTATATAATCTCCCTTCGTCTATCCCAATAAGTACAAGAGGAGGAATTTGGGTGACTGGGTGAGTTGTAAGCAGTAGCAGTAGCAGTAGCAGCAATGGAGCTGTTCTACTTTGTGGTGTTTGGGGCATTGGGAGCTGTGGTGGCAGCATTAGAGCTGAGCAAGAACAGCAAGGATCGAATCAACACGTCCTCAGCTTTCAATTCTTTCAAGAACAATTACCTTGTTGTTTACTCTCTCATGATGGGTAATTAACTCCCAGTTTTATGTTACCCAGATCTGATTTCCATTTCTTTCCCCTAGATCTTTTATTTCAGCATCGATCTGATCTGATCCTCCAAACTTTTTGTTATTACGGGTACCCATTTCCTCGATTTGGGTTTCGCAGTCTGATTCCGGTGTTTTCGTGCATTTTCTTTAGCTTTTGACAGAAGAGGAAATAGCATGAGAAAATGACTTGGGATAGGTGATATGTGGATTTCCGGTCTTTTTCTGTTTTCTGGTTTGAGACATGGGATCTGGTCTCCGGTGTTCTTTTATTGGGTTGGAGAGAGGTCGCTATTGCGTTAATAACCTTAGTATTCGAGTACTAGCCCATTGTTCTTGGAGACCCTGGTTAGTCAAACTCCCGAGTAATGAATTCGATGAACAGTATAAGAAAATTAACGGTTAATATAGCTCTTCACGCAACTCTTTAATGGTATTTCGTTTGATTTGCATACTTGACGATCTTATTTTAATGCGTCTTGAACATAGTTCTTATTATTGTTGGAGTCACAGTTACTTTCTGATTCTAATTAGTTTTGGAGGTATGATCTTTATATGTAGATATATGTTCGTTATGGGGAATGCATCTAGCTTGTTGGTTTGATAAATGGTTGTTTGTGTGTACTATAAATAGCTGGAGACTGGCTGCAGGGTCCGTATGTTTACTATCTTTACAGCACATATGGCTTTGGGAAGGGGGAGATCGGACAACTTTTTATCGTCGGTTTTGGATCCTCTATGTTGTTTGGGACAATTGTTGGGTCTCTAGCTGACAAACAGTAAGTTCCTTACTTTGGCTTCTATTGTGATATTTTCTCTTTTAGACTTTATGGGTGAAACGTCTGGCTTACTCTAACAATACATTCATGTGTTCAATTCAGGGGCCGGCGGAGGGCATGTGTTACTTACTGCATAACTTACATCCTTAGCTGCATAACGAAGCATTCTCCTCAATACAAGGTTTTGATGGTAGGTCGTATTTTGGGAGGTATTGCCACTTCTCTTCTCTTTTCAGCATTCGAGTCGTGGCTTGTTGCTGAACATAATAAAGTGAGTCATTGCTTCCTTGCTCTTTACTCTTAATGCATATCAAGCAAGCTTACAAATTATAGATGTGTTTTCTTATGTGTCCTTTTCTTTTAATATATCTACTTCATATCTTGAATTTTCTTTCACTGTTAGGTGCTCTATTTGTAGCAGTTGATGTCATTATCTCCTTTTAATTTAACCTTGTTCTGACGAGTCTATTTCTGTTTTAAATCTTTGCAGAGGGGCTTTGAGCAACAATGGTTGTCTATAACATTTTCAAAGGCTATATTTCTTGGAAATGGTCTCGTCGCCATTTTGTCTGGGTTGTTTGGAAACCTACTTGTTGATTCATTGTCCCTTGGACCTGTGGCTCCTTTTGATGCTGCTGCTTGCTTTCTTGCCATTGGGATGGCCGTTATTTTATCATCATGGACAGAAAATTTTGGAGACCCTTCAGAAAACAAGGACCTGCTGACCCAGTTCAGGGGCGCTGCTGTAGCAATAGCTTCTGGTAGGAGTTCAATATTAACGTAAATCTCGATCCATTGATCTTGTTTACACGTTGCAGGCTGAGTACCGTCGATGAAGTGTTGTTACTTTTTACCAGTCATCCTCCGTTGATCATTGATTCTTACCTTTGTTTTCGTATTATTCCCCTCCCCACTCTAATCTTTTGTGCACTTCAGATGAAAAAATTGCTTTGCTGGGTGCCATCCAGTCTCTGTTTGAAGGTTCGATGTATACCTTTGTCTTCCTCTGGACTCCTGCTCTGAGCCCCAATGACGAAGAGATTCCTCATGGTTTCATTTTTGCCACATTCATGTTGGCTTCAATGTTGGGAAGCTCCCTTGCATCTCGATTGATGGCTCGCTCATCGCCGAGGGTAGAAGGCTACATGCAGATCGTTTTTGTGGTTTCCTCTGTTTCTCTCCTTCTTCCGATTGTTACCAATGTATGTTCCGAAATCTCTCTATCCCTTGCAGTGGATTATTGTTTTAGCGGCACCTAACGTGATGAATTTGTAACAGTTCTTGGTAGCACCTTCGAAAGTGAAAGGCGGTAGCATCTCATTCGCGGGTTGTCTTCAGCTTCTTGGTTTCTGTGCTTTCGAGGCTTGTGTAGGAATATTCTGGCCATCCATTATGAAAATGAGATCCCAATACATCCCGGAGGAAGCTAGGAGCACCATCATGAACTTCTTCCGCATTCCTCTCAACATCTTTGTCTGCATCGTGCTGTACAACGTATGTTATACGCTTTCCTACAATAGCATTCTTCGATCACATGCCATAACACACATATTAACTAGCTTTATCGTTTTTTCCTATGAAGGTTGATGCATTCCCCATCACTGTCATGTTCGGCATGTGCTCGATCTTCCTCTTCGTCGCTTCCATCTTGCAAAGGCGTCTGATGGCAATATCAGACAAACCAAGTACGTACACATTCTATCAACCACAACATCTTTAATTTTCTTCCGCTGCCGATGCATATCCAGCTCGTCTGACAACTTTTCTGTGATGTGTTTTTCGTTTGTTTATCAGAGATCGAAAATTGGTCGGCGATGAAGGAAAGGGACACCGAGGCTGAGCCACTAAATGAATGAAAAGGCAACCAAGGGTATGATAACAACAACATAATATACTCTTGCATGAGGTTATATTTTACATTGATTTTTACACTAGTGAAGTAAATGTGGTTTATAGGTGACTTTCGAGTTTGTTTGGGGCTGTCCTTAGATCAGCACCAATTATTCAATCTTTTTGCCTGTTAGACTGGCGGAAGAATATATGAATTACTCCAGTAGTGAAGTAAATTCGGCCATATGAATTCGTTCTGATGTTAAAAATATGGGTAAAGTACACAAATGGTCCCTGATTATATATATTATTTTATCGAGTCAATTGATTATTAAAAGTTATAAAATAATCTTTTAATTGTACGAAGTTGTTTTGTTTAGTTCTTCACTATTAAAAGTTATAAAATACTCAACTATTCAATATGTCTCAAACTCGTTATTTTCTGTTAAAAAATTAACAGTAGTTGCATATTAACTGAGATATAGTATTTATTTGTAATTATATTAACTAAGATATAGTATTTATTTGTAATTATAGATCAGATTTTATCATATTTCAATCAGTAGGTTAATGTATAACTTAGATTTTCGTTGAAATTTTAATCAAAAATGATGAGTGCCAAATATAATGAATAATCAGGTAATAATTTTATAAATTTTAATAGTTGAAAGACTCAACAAAATAATTTTTTATAATTAACGAATCATTTTATAATTTTAATAGTTAAGAGGTTTAATAAAACATTATCTTATATTTAGTACTATTGGTATATTTTACCATAAAATTATTATCTGTTATAGATTCTCAACAAATGCAAGTAAACACCTCGAAAATCTATTCTTCCTATAGATTACGGTCACATGGCGATTTTGCCTTAATTTTTGCTAAAGTGCTATAAAACATTCTTTTCTTAAATAATTTTTCTTGAACATTTAATTTCCCGTCTAAAAAATAATAATATTTAATTAATTTAGGCTAAAATTTGTGATATTTTATATAGTATCCGTAATCGCCATTACTTAGAAAAAACCTAAAAGCTAAAACGATGATGTATTTTGACTTTGTATCAATGATTTGAACATTTACTTTTATTTATTTATTTATCAATTTGACAAATAAACATTTAAAAATGGTCACTATTTGAATTTAAGACCTCTAATAATAAATTAGTGATCAATTAATTAATAAATATGACATTACGTTTCAACGTAATTAAAATAATGACATTTTGTCCCATCACTATTTCTAACCCTTCTTAAGGGAATTTCAAAACTAAAAAAATTGAAATATAATGACTAAACCCGGAATTTGTCAACAGTAAGTGACTCATGGTAGAATTCGACCAAAAAAGTCAGCTTTGGAAAACTCAAAAAAAAAAATTGGCATCAATTGGGGCCCACCACAACAATACAAAAGAAAACATCAGTCTCACTCTTTCAAGCAAAGCAAGGCCTTAGCTTGAAGATCAACCCTTTGTGCTCGCCTAAGATTTCAAGCCTTTCAATAATTTCGAATCACAATCACCAACCCAAACAGTAACGCTGGAACCATCTTCTCAACCCCCAGATAACCTAATCTCACCCACCACACCACCGCTGCCTCCGCCGCCAGCCCCGCCACCTACAAAACCCAATCAGTTTCTGTCTTTGATATCCAGCAGACCCTCCCTCCGCGTGACTTCAGAGTTCGACAGCGACAGCCGAGTGTTCTTCCACAAGGTGTCGTGTAAGCTGTTCGACGACCTTGCTAAGCTTAAACTCTTCTTCGTCAACAACGTCAAACGTGAGATCTCGGAGCCTCTCTTGGCCTTAACTTCGAAGCACTTGTCGATTCACTATGACCCTGAAGAACAAAATGCCCTCAGGTCCTAAGTTGCATTTCAAAGCTGCTCACGATGTCAAGGTTTACCCTTTTTTCTCATGTTTCTGCTAATCGTAGTTCGTGCTAATGTTAATGAAAATATATAAAATCGAAAGCTTGGGATTATCATTTGACACTATTTGTTTGCCCCTGAATTGCTCTGCATGTAAGATTTGAAAATTTTGGTGAGAGTCGTTAGGATGCAGCTACAAAGAGGGAATTTTTTGTATAACCACAGGTATCCTGCGTTGGTCTCATTAATCCGAATAGGGTACTGCATAGGTCTATTATGTGAAATGGGAAATTTAAATTTACTATTGCCCAACACTCTTAACATGATGTTAAGTGAGTGCTAAATGAATATTTCTTTGATGCCATACATATGCTATTCCTTAAATACCTCTTGTTCTTTTTTCTCAGGATAAACGAGGTGAGGTCGCGATGATTGCAAACCTTGCTGATCCTGGTTATGCTGTTGAACTATCATCTCCTGTTCCATATGTTGGTTTGGTCAGTACTATTTATCTGTGGTGTCTTATTAGTGAAAATCATTCACTTATAATTACAGGAAGATTCCAATCTTGCTGCTTACGGGTGATAGTATGGTTGCAATTTGAGCTGTCTTTTCCTTTTGCTATTTGTTGTGTTTTTTGTCACTGCGTTTCATTAAAAAAGTATTTGGCAATTCATTTTCAGCTATTGTTTTGGGTACTCAATTGTAAGATGTATGTGGCATCATACTGTTATTATCTGTATGCATAACTCGACACCGGATGACCGGATTGATGATAGTGCCCTTGCATTTTTATGCTTATGGATTATCACCTTTTGATTTGCTTCTTTTCCAATTTAATATGCTTAAACATGTCCGCATAGCCCTTTTACATTCTAATTGCCTCCGTTACTATCGTGTTCTTTTAGCGTAAAGCAACAATCAGATTCCCCACGGGTGAAGTTGCGCTTGAGGAGAAAGAAGAAGAGGAAGTGCCAAGGAAATTGTTGATAAATGGAATTCTTAAAGGTCCAATTTTGAACGGGGTCGGTGCTGCCTATTACACAGACAAAGAACTGAAATTAAGATGCTCGTATAAGGTGACTTTTCCGTCAGCTTTATAAGCTACTGTGGTTTGTATGGGAGTTCCACTGGCATATTTCTTGTTGAATAATTTGGATGGCTCATTGTTCAACATTATGGATGCCTGATTTTCCGGCTTTTGACATTTCCTTTTCGTAGTGGTTTTGATGGTTTTTGAATTGCAGGATGGAGCACCGTCATTTATTCCTAGCATTTCACTGCCGTTGAATGCTGTATAATTTGCATTCAAGAGACGTTTCACTCCATCTGATAAGTTGAAGTTAGAACTCCCTCCACATTGTCAATATTGGAATCTCATGGAATTACATGTTCTTATCGGCTATTGACATGTATCTTTTTCTGGACATGAATTATTTTTCTTGCAATATCTATTTCTATTTTATCTGCAGCTATTGGTACAATTTCGATTCGAACAGTTGGAGTGCCGTCTACAAGCACACGTACGACAAAGACTTCAAATTCAAAGCTGGCTATGATTCAGAGGTCTACACTATGGATAAGTTCTCGTATTGGCACCAACTTTCTTGCTTTCTTCTTGCTGAACTATATGGTCCTTATATGGAAGGTTAGCATTGTATGCTTGAGACTTCGATGATGTTCGTTTCAGGTCGGAGAAGAAAATGGAAAGGCAAAGACGGCTCCAATGAAAATGGAAGTCCAGTTCATGCTCCAGGTACCTCAAAATGACATTAAATCATCGGCGTTAATGTTTCGTGTAAAAAAGAGGTGGGATATAGTGTAGTCTCGTACACATTTTATAAACGGTGTGGTTTTAGAACCTTTATAACAATGATTCTAATTGCTATATAGTGACAATATTGCATCACTTGGTTGATGAAGTTACTCTTTAATTTATATTTATTTGTCTCTCAAACTCTTTTTTCTTTTTCGGAATTAAGGTTAGCAAAACTCGACTCGAAAAAAATGATCTTTTTTTTTAATTATTGGAATCAACTTGAAATTTTACTCTGGATTTTGAGTTCAAGTCGAGTCGAGTTTGAATAGTAAAATTTGAACAAAAGAAACTGAAAATTATAACGGTATCATTTTGGTCTTTAACTAAGTGATGATTTTTTTTTTTGCGTTTTATTCACCGATTTCATTGTTTTTATAATTACTCATCCGTTTTAAATATATTCTCTGCCAAATTTGAATCACATATTGTCAATCACTTTAAAATACCTTTAAAATCTTACATGAAAGAACAGAGTTGACAATATAAGCTTGTGTTTAAACATTGGTAATTGTCAGAAGAATACAAAAGATATACGAGTTCTAACACAAATATTAGGTAACAGGACAGCCATCAGCAATTACGCCTTTTGCAGTTGGACAAGCAGCAAGGGGACACCCTTCTCCATTATTGCCCCACCATTGGAGGCCAATGTCCTTTGATTGTAGTGCAAGAAACAACAAGATCGTCATAAAAGCAGTTCCGGCATCGAGACCACCCGAGAGGACATAATTGTAGCGTTTCCACCACTCCGGTCTGTATTTGTAAAGAACATATCCGAAAAGGAAGGCCATAATCAGCCAACTTGTGAAGTTTACTGCAGTAGCCGGAGGCATCATAGACGTTGCACCCAATAGGACCGGCATGTGGATGAGGCGAATCCATTCTTTATCTGGAAATGCCTTGTGCGCCATCCATACTAGGAGAGGAGCTAGTGCTCCCCCAAGAAAGAACCAATTGATGTTCCCGTACTCACCTTCCGTTCCGAATATTCTGTGAGGTCCAACTAGCCCCCATATAACGGATGCATCGAAGAACACGTTGTCCATCGGACAAGTCCATGGACTGTCAGGTGGCAACAAGGAGGTATCACAAAGATTGGGAATTTCTTCCATAAGCCACCATGCAGTTATGGTGTACACAAAGACTGAAACAATTGTTCCTACCACCTGCAAATGCCAACTCGTTAGATATCAAACGATATAGGTTTACATCCGACCCTTTCCGAGAAAACTGTGATTTTAGGGATTGTAGACAGAGGACTGACCTGTGCTGTGAACATCGATCGAGGAGGAATCTTCATGTAATGGCCGAGTTTGAAGTCCGAAACAAAGGTTAGAGCTTGAGCCATGCTTATGTATCCATACACCTTGAAGCACATATTAGCAACAGGGTGCTCTGGGTACATATATCCGATCACATATTCAGTAATAATGTTCAAACCTGGAGCCTACATATGCACGAAAAAGCCCCCAAAAATCGACATCAGAAGCCATGGAAATCAAGTCTTAGTGCAGATATAGTTTTCCTTTACCTGATTTGTGGTAGCAGCAATGATACCAATAGGAAGGGTGAAGAAG